TTCCCTTCCTGCTATCTTCTTCTTCTTTTTTTTTTTTTTTTTTAACATGTAATGTATTATTTGTTTCAGAGGTACAGGTCTGTGATTCAACAGTCACTCTTAAGCATGAGTATAGTTTACCTAACCCAGAGGTGAGAATGAGAATTTTGAGAGTGAGGATGAAAATGGATAGAGAAAGAAATAAGTTTGGAAGATGGGGCACTCCTTACCCTATAGTAGTCGTGCTGACAGTGGGGGTGTGGGTAATTCAGGGCAATCCACACTGAGTGCCAACTACCTATGAGGTGCTGTGTCAGGTTCTAGAGACACAGGGACAAATGCTATCCAACTGCTGCTCTCAGGGAATTCAGCCCAGAGAGGGAGACAAAGATGCTAATGGATAATTGTCATAGAGTGAATCAAGGGACCTATTCAGGGGAGGGCACTAAGTCCAAGGGAAGGTCAGAGAGGCTGGACTGGAGGTATCACAGGATGGCGAGGGGGGTTCAGAGTGTCGGGGAGGGGGTGCCGTAGACACTTGTGCTCACAGTCAGCTTTGTAACAGGAAGGACTGGAAATCTGTTCCCCCTTTGTTATTCTCCCTTCTCCCTACTATTCATTCTCAGGACTTTGAGTTTGACCAGAAGTAGTTTTATAATAATGGTTTTAATACATCACGGTATGGAACAATACATTCTGTATTACAAATACCCACCAATTCAAAACACAGGTACTACCTGCTACCTGTACTTAAAAGCAGTATTAAAAACCATAAGCTTGCTGTAATTGTATTCATTTTATGTAATTGCATCTTGGTCTTAGACTAGAACCAATGGGTAGAAGCCACAGGAAGGAGGCATCAACTCAGGATCTGAAGAAGTACTCGGTAGAAACTCCTTGACTCGGAGTCGCATGGCCTGTGTCCTTGTCTTGTCTCTGGAGATTCATTCTCTCTCTCCAAGCCCCTCAGTTGCCTTCTCTATAAAATGGGATATGAATAGAATAGGCTCACCTGGGGATCTTTGTGAAGACTAAATTAGATAAGTGTTTTGTGAATTCTAAATTGCTACATAAACATAACTTAATGACATAGATAGAAAACAGATAAAGCCGGAGCAGGTTGCCTTACCCAGTAGGTTTTCTGTTACCGGAAGAGCTGAAATAGGCATGGAGGGACATAGAGCACGGAGGTGAGAAGCATGGATTCAAACCAGACCAGTCTGGATTCATTCTTGACTCACTCAATTACCGGCCATGTGACTCTGGGCAATGACTTCTTCTCTTTAAGCCTGCCTGCTCCTTTCTCACCTGCACAATGAGCTACTGTGTGAGGATTACCGGAGATCATAGATGTTGGTTGCCTATCAAGTCTAGCTCATGGTTAGCACTCTTTAAATGTTAGTTGCTCATCATGATAATTATATTTTGCTACTATTTTATTGCTGTTACTGTTACTGCCACTACTATTACCATGATTATTATTATTGAAGCATTTGGAAGACACCCGTAAAGAGGCCTCGGGAATCAGAAAAGTGATGGGGACAGATGATTTCGGAACTCTAAGACTCAAGTTTCTATGCTTTTGCTTTTGCCTTTACACCGGTAGCAGAACATGAGATTTGTAGGTTAAATCTGCATAAAGGACTGGGAGCCTCCCTCTAGTCTACCTGAACCCTCCATCAAAAAGGTTTTGGCATTTTAAGAGCCAGAGATTGGAAGTCCCATGAATAGACTCCACAATGAACATAGGAAAGAACTACATTTGCCAGAGAATGAGTCCAACAATGTTCTGGAGAGCAAGACCTTTCCTTTCACTTGCCTCTCTCTTCGACCCTGTTCTCTTACCATCACTGTATGCCTCAGAAGGGCGTGCTAATCCACCGGAGTCTTTAGTTTCTAGGCTAAGTGAAGGAGGTGTTTCTCAATAGGGGTCTCACGGAGCTCCTTGTCATTCTAAATTCATCCTTCCCACACCCTGTTTGTGCCAAGAGTAGTAAACTGTGGGCACCATATTAGTTTGATAGTCTGGAGCCACCCACCACCCACCAGTACCCTGTGGGCACAGTACAAACTGAGCCCAGTTGGGAAGAGTATGCTGGCATGTTGACTGTTTGAAAATTAGAAAGGAGAATCAGCCCCTTGTGTGAAATTTACTTTTAGTATGTTTTGCGGCATAAATTTAGAGGATTATAAGATAAAGAAAAAAAAAGTAGAGCTTATATTAAATATTGTGTGCTAAAATATTCTAAAATGGTCCAACGGGTTACTTATTTTTACAATCCAGATCTATCCTTGAAGATTTTATTTTTATTCATTTGTATTACTCTGAATTTGGAAGCCCAGCAAATGCAAAATGGTTCATTAGTTGAACTCTACTGTAATTACTAAAGCTAATGAGAACAATATTTTGAATGCCAAAGCCAATTTATCAGCTACTTCTTGTAACAGAACAATTTATGTCTTTTTTCAGAGGAAATCTTCAGTGCCTACTCTGCTCTGTGGTGGTCTCCAAAAGGCACTTTTTTAGCATATGCCCAATTTAACGACACAGAAGTCCCGCTTATTGAATACTCCTTCTACTCTGACGAGTCACTGCAGTACCCAAAGACTGTGCGGATTCCATATCCAAAGGTCTGTGCTCCTATTCACATAGTGGTTCCGTGATTTGATGGGAAGAGAATGGTTTCATTTAATCCTTTCCTGCTAATGAAAATATTGTCAGTCTCTCTTCAACAGCTTGCTGTGATTACTCTTGCTGAAGTCAACAGCATCTGGCAATTTTAAAGTATTTTTATTATCCCAGGAAAGAGTGTGATTTAAGGTTTTGTAATTTCTCCAAAAACTTTGAGGAATGACAAGCCGAAAAAGATGGGGAAAATGCTTTTGAAAGAGGTAGGGGGAATGAAAATGTTTCAAGGGAGGAAAAGAGAGGCTGTCATTGAATCACAAGCTCTTCTTATTTGTAGAAGTTGGAATATGCCCTGGATGAAGTTGAAAAGCTCAGTTATATATCAGGTTGTATTGCTAATTAACCGATACATGACTAGTTTCAGTGGTTCTGGTATAGATTTGGCACTAATGTGCATTTCACACGTCCTGCGTTTGGAATAATGGTCTCACATCTTGGTTTGCAAGGCTGTTCTCCTCCTCCGGGATGCATATTTATGAAAATTCAACAGCTTTGTTAAGCAGTGTAAGCCGAGGAAGAGGGGGATTTAGAAGGGAACCAGGATTCTTCACTAGTGTCATAATATTAATGGCCACAGGATCATCTATAGGAAAATCTAATAGTAAATGTTTTTGCTGTAAGCAACTTGGGAAAAGGGATTTTTATTTTTACTAACTCACTCAATTTGCTTCATGAAGAACTGCCATTTTAGGAAGACAGAGGAAGTTAAAAGAAAAAAGATCCGAGACTAAATATAGAGATGTATTTTCAGTGGAATGTTATTTTTTGATGAGTGAAACTGGCAAAAAAAAAAAAAAAAACCCATAAAATGCTCTCACTAAAAATATATTATTTCTAATTAATTTGTCAATTGAAGATCTATGTGTATATATAAAAAAGTTTTGAAGATTTCTGTCATCATATTGATTGTAAAGTTTGAACATGGTGAGCTTGAATTTGGAGTGCAAATGGTGTCTTTCCAATTAGCCGTTTTTGGTTCTCGGCTCAGGTAAACTCATTTTCCTGGTGGGTTGTGTCTTTGGCTGAACCCAAGGTATTCTTCCTAGTTGTCAGCCATTAGACTTCTTGTCTTCTGGAGTCAGAGTATATTTGCAAAATAATAGAATTGATTTTTAAAAAGTTTATCCTTGTTTGCACAAAACACATTAAATTATGAACGTTCATGATTTAAACGGAGTGCTTGGAGCTGTCAGTATATATGTTTCTGCCTGAACATGAAAAAGTTGCACTTCATGACTCTCTTTTATGTTCATTCTATCTGTATTAGGTCTGTCTATATTAAATTTTTTAGCATGTCTCATGATTATAATTTTATCGCTCTCCTGTGAACATTTTTGTACAGTTTTAAACCTGTGCAATGATGTGATATTTTTTTTTCCATATCAATTCTGTTATTGTGTTTTCCTAGGCAGGAGCTGTAAATCCAACCGTAAAGTTCTTTGTTGTCAAAACCGACAATTTCGACCCAAACACCAACGCAACTCCAAAAGAAATCTCTCCTCCTGCTGCTATTTCAACAATGGGGTAAGAGTCTTGATCAGAATGTGTGGGTTGTACAGAGTTTCACAGATCTCGGGGAGAACCTTTTAAAAATGAATGGCAGAATCAGGGGTAGCATCCCATGGTGTCCCCCTGGGGCCGGAAGCCATTCATCAGCCATTCTTTGTCAAGCCATCACCTCATGTCTTCATGCTGAGCACGGTTCCAGTGATGGGGTCCACACAGTGAGTAGAGCAACCAGAGTCCCGGGTATGATGGAGCCTACACTCAAGGTGGGGGAGGCAGACAACAACCCAGGTAGACAGAATATTGTTGTGAAGGCCATCAAAGCAGGGCAAGGTGATGGTGACGGTGGGGGGAGGTCAGGGAAGCCCTCTCTCACGAGATGACCCGTGAGCCGTGACGTGAGACAGAGGGCCAGCTAGCCCCCTGAGTAGCTGGGGGTTCAGTATCCAGGCAGAGGGAGAGCAGGTGCAAAGACCCCACAGAGAGGATGTGGCTGGTGCCTGAGAGGACCCTGTGAGGAGGCCAAGTGACCATTGCAGTGCGAGTGGAGAGGTGAGTGATAGGAGTGAGGTCAGAACACGAGGGCTGTGCAGGTCTTCATGAGAACTGGAGAAATGTAGGGCTCCTCGTGACACCAACATGCCTCAGGATGTCACTTGCTTAAATAATCGCTGGTGGTTTGAAATTCTGCCACCACATACCCTCAGCCCCCTGTGCTTTTCCTGTAGAGATAAACACGGCATTGCATGCAATTTATGGCTCTAAGTTGCTTTCTACTCATTTCTGTTCATTATCTTGGTTTTCTTGTTGCTTTTAAATAATAACTAGTATATACTGAGCACTCACTATGTGCCAGACACAGGGCATGATCACAGGCTTTCTTGTATTAATCTTTAAAGTAACTCTTTCCAACAACTATAATTATATGCCTCTTTTACATATAAGGGAATGAGGCCTAGAAGCTAAGAAAATGGTAGGAGTCTGTATTCAAACCTGTCTCTCTGACTTAGAAGAAGGAGCTTACAAGTGCTCTGCTAGGGGCCTCCCTCTGTGAATTCAACCCCTGCCCTCCGCTTCCTGAAGTTATCATCAAAGCAACATGGAAGCATCCTTCTCAGGGTTAAATTTACCACATCAGGCACGCTGTAGGCTCTGCTCTGTAGTTATTAATTCATTGACTTGATTAGAAATATCTGTATTAACCCATTCGTTTGGAGGAAAAAATCAATTACCAATAAATTTAAAAAACTGTCTTTCCTGAGTTTGTCCAAAGGTATAAAAATTTACCTGGAGGTTCTAAAATCTGCTGTGCGGCCCCATCCAGTCATCTCTTCTATCAATATTGATTGAGCACCCACTATTTATGTAACAAATGTCCATAGGGCTGAGCTACTGTCTTTCTAGCACTTTCGACCAAGCAGAGGATAGAATATATTGCCATAAATGACTCCAAAAGCACATACTCCAGAGGCATAGACAGAAGGCCAGAGACATTCTGAGGAGGGGGAGATGGGTTTTCCAGGACCCCAGGGATCAAAGAAAGCATCCTGGGCAATGTGTGGATTGAGCAGGAAGGATTCCACAGGGCACAGCTGGGGGGATGGCACTGAAGGGGAAGGTAACCCATGCGTGGGGAAGTGCAGGGATGTCCATGGAAAGGGCAGGGCCTGGTGTGACCTCTTGGCCTACAACCAACATCTGTCTGCTGAGGATGAGCCACAAGCCCCTGCTCTGAAGAATCTTAGATCTGGGAGGGGCTTTACACCTCACCCATGGTTTACAAACTGTTTTAAGGACCTGAAGCCTTTTTTTCAGGTGAGATAGAACACAGGAGTGCAGGTCCAGAAACCAACCAGACGATTATTGCTCAGGTTGCAGGCACAGGCCTTGTTCCTTCTGCTTCCGCCAGGAGTCGGGATATTCGAACCTGCGGGCTTCCAGAACACACTGAGAACAACGCTGTGGGACACAGATGAGCTAACTGAGGCTTACAGAGGGAAACTCTTTTGCTCAAGGTCACACAGCAAGTTAGCGTGGGAGCTGGGAAGAGGACACAGGCCTGCACACCTGCTGGTTAATAGGCTCACTGAATAATGGAGTTTCAATGCATAGAGTGTGTCCTGTGGGTGGGGACTATGCTTGATGCCCCGCTCACATCTCACTTGACACACTGCCTACCGTGTCTTTGTCATGGCCATCTCATAGGTCCTCCTCTGTGGGGTCTCCCCTGCCCCCTTAGAAACCTCATTCCATAAGCTGAGCTCAGGGAACGTGCGCAAGTCCAAGGACTTAGTTTTTGCCCCGTACGAATGAACCTTTAAGTAATTGTTTGCGGTGCTTTATGCTGCATTCCTGGTGAGGACTGCCTCACTCACTGGGGATATTATGTGTGAGATGTATTTTACTGAGGAATCATTTCTGGAAATGCCTCAGGAATGTGTTATATAGGGAATTATAAATCCAGCTCTGGTCTCTATTAACAGCAGTGATGCTGCAGTTTATATAAAACCAGGCGCGAGGTCCTCTCTGCAGAAAATGTTCTAGCAGGCGGTGATATCCCACTTTCTGGCCTCATGCAAACATCCAACAGGGCTGGGGAATCCCGGCAAGTTGTGCCTCTTCGGAAACTGCCCAGCACCCTCGGCTGTGTTTCCTAGACATCCGCTAGCTCCCGGAGTGTAGATCGCCTGGAGCCCCGTGAGGGTGGGCGTGTTTCTTCCGTCCTCTGTCCAGGCACCCATCACTCGCTTTCCCCTGAGGCCATGTCCTTGCACCACAGATCTTCCCGCAGGTGAAATCCTACCAGAGGCAGGGAGCCTCCCAGTTGCCCTCATTGAGTTAGAGGTCAAGTGGATTAGATTCATTAGGCTGCTCATTTGTATTGATGACTCATAATGGGAATTTGCAAGCTCAAAATCTGAGAGAAAACAACATATACTGTAAAATCATAACCGCCACCCACCCCCCGCACCTGCTTTATTTAGAGCCTGGCTTCATGTTGCTGGACTGAAATAAGAAAGTTCTATAGGTAGAGGCCCATCTTACAGTAGTATCTCCAGTGCCTCTCGGGGGTGGAGGGTGGGGGTCTGAGACCCAGCAAGTCCCCAACGAACATTTGTAGAATAAATGAATAAGCTTCTGCGTGGATGAATGAGTTATGTTATATGTGTGACTTCATGTGTGTGGAATGGTTTACACAACCAGCACCGAAGATGACCCTCCAAGTGACCCTGCCTAGCAGTCCCTCCTTTCTGCCTCCTCCCAGCCATCTGCAAATCGTGTGGCCTGAGCTAGAGGATTGGGAAGGGCATGTTCCACTGAGGTGACCCCACCCGACATCTGCTGAATGGCTCCGGGGACCCATCACACCCAGTCCTGACCTGCCCTACCCTGTTTTTTCTGCTCCTGAGTGATGTAATAGATAAATGCCTCCTCTGAACAGTTGAGAATCCTTGATCTATAAAGTAGCGATATCAGGGTCTGGGGTTGTCACACAGGAGATAAACGAACTGGACAGAAATGGCTGGAAGCTAGCAACACCTTGAGACAGGAGGTGGATCAGGAGCTCGCCTGCTGTGGGTGCTGCCCTCTGTGATGGGCTCCCCCTCACCCCACCTGTCCTTCTCTTAGCGATCTGTCAGCAGCCCCAGGACGGCTGGCATCCCCCTCAGAACAGAGGGTGGCATGGAGCCCGGGGCCAGCACTGGCAGAATGTCCGCTTCCTTGGGTGATTCACCGAGTTAATCACTCCACCGTCTGCAGTTGCACTTAGGAGCAATTTATCTCCAACATTCTTTCTGGTTAGTAATGCCTACCTGATGTTAAGTATCCTTAGCATACCAAGAAAACCACGTACACATATTAGGGGAATTAATGCAACTCAACAGACATTTATTAAACTCCTACTCTATGGTCACTTTACAAAGGGATTCTCTGTAGTATGACCTTCAAAAGCAGGTCTGCCCCAGTACATTCAAATATAATTTGCTTTATAAAATTCAGCTATTTAGTTTACAGACACTCTGTAGAGACCTCACTCGTAGAGTGAGGAATTTTATCCTGAAAAAAAGCAAGAGGGTGAAGCTAGCCAACAGTATTTACCAGAGGGATGGGTGGAGGTTCTATAGAGGGAGCTCCTGGGAACAGAAAATCTGAATCGTGGCTCCAACACTTCCCAGTGTGTGACCTTGGGCGAGTTACTTAACCTTTCTCCACCTCCTTTTCCTTGTCTGCAAAACATGAACCTTAGCCTTCCTAGCGCATAGGGTGCCATAAGCTTGGAGCACTTGGAATGGTTCCTAGCACAAAGTAAACTGCTCATGGGTGTGAACTCCTATTATTATATCCAGAAATTACTCCATTGCTTTAGTATTAAAGTCAACCATACTCTCCTTAGAATAACATTGTCCCAGAAGTTAGAAGAGCTTTGAAACTGAATCACTATGTCTGACAGGATAGGCAGTCTCTGGCTCAAGGGAAGTCCAGGTTGCCTGACTGGTCCCTCTTCTGTCCCTTCCCACCATTACATAAGCAATCTATTCAGTAGACGCCTCTCTGCTTTTACAGAATAAAATCAGCATCGAGGGGCACCTGGGTAGCTCAGGTCGTGATCTCAGGGTCATGAGATCCAGCCCCAGCTGGGGCTCCAGGCTGGGCAGGGAGTTTGCCTGCTTGAGCTTCTCTCTTCCTCGCCTTCTGCCCCTCCCCCACTTGCACATGCATGCACACTTTCTCAAAATAAATAAATAAATCTTTAAGAAAAATCAGCATGTAATGTAATTTATAGTTGATATTCCTGCTCTTTGGATTTTTCTGGTCCTAAGTGGGACTTAAACCTTTCAATAAAAAGTACAGTTGGGCCATTGGTTCCCTTATACATTTTTAATGACTCACTGACATCTCAGACTTGATCTTGGCACGATCTTGGCTCAGGGCAGGGTATGCAGCGTCGTTCTGTCTCCCCTTAATTCCAAATCCTAAAGAGAAGCTGTGATTAAACAGAAGTATATTTCCATGAGGATTCAAAATGTCCCATCTGCTGGCTGGCCAACGGCCCTTCTGGAAGCATCAGAAGGTGCAGAGTACACCTTGGGCTACCCAAGAGTGACAGAGAGAGTGGAAGATACAGGGTCATGAACCTTTGATCTAGAAAAGGGCAAGGAAGGTGCCAGATGCATATGAGTTTCCTGGCAGACTTCCTTCCCAAATTCCATTACTCCGATTTCGAATGGGGAAAAGTTACTTTTCTACTGCTGATTTCTGAACCTGGAGTACGATCTATGGTTTTTAGTAGATAAAGCACTTAGTAAAGGTGACCCGCTAATCATGTTAAAGAGTTTTCTTCCCCCCTCGCCCGCCCTTTCCCCCAACTGGCACACTTTAGAAAACGGAAGCCTGTTTCTGGAGCCTATGATCCTAATCGACACCCATGGAGCCCTGGGCAATATGTGCATGTATGTGAAGAGATTTCCGCCCCCCACTGCCACTGCCCCTAGAGAGAGGCACATGATTTTCATCTGATTTACAAAGGGATTTGATCTGTGATTGAGAACCACGGGCATAGAGGAACCAGCCCCATGCCTGTTTTTGCATGATCTGCAAGTAAGAAAGGGTTTTACAATTTTGAATGGTTGGGAAGGAAAATCACAAGAAGAATAATATTTCATGACATGTGAAAATTGTATGACCTTCAGATCTCAGGGTTTCACTGCAACTCCTCTACATGTGTTCGTCTGTGGCTGCTTTTGTCCTGCAAAGGCAGAAATAAGTCAGTGTGACAGAGCTCACGTGACCTGCAAAACTTAAAATATTTACTGTCTGGCTCTTTACTGAAAAAGTCTTCAGACCCCTAGTCTAGAAAGTTAATCTGAGAAAGTTTTACTTTCTCCCTTGCATGTCATTGTTCCATCCCCTTTGCAATGATTTAGTCCCTATCCCCAGCAGGATTTATTTGCCTTTCCAATTTCTCATTTAATGCCTGTGGGCTGGGCACAGGGCAGAAGAGTTGGACTCCATGAGGTGCCCTTGGTCCCGTGCGTGCAAGGAGGCGCGCACACTCTCAGACCCTGCAGCCTGGCGGTCATTAGTGATGAGCCCCTTAAGACTGCTGATACCTGTGCGGACTGAGGGGCTTTCCAAGAACGCACAGTGGATATTTGAGGAAGACCTAAAGAAGTCAGAGCATGGCAGAGGTTTCAGACTGAGGGCAGGTTGAACAAAGGTGGGGGGCAGCTGGGAAATCTCAGAAGGTGTTCATGGAATACCAGCCATGCAGACTGGATGGTGCATAGGTTCTTAATAAGCAAGAGAAAGGGCTGAAGTGGAGAAGAGTCCCTGTTGGTGGGAAGGTGGTGCTTTGCTGCTGGGTGAAGGGGTTTGATCTTCTTTCAGTACTTGCCGCTTGCAGCGGGGACAGCCGGGAGGTGCCCCTGGGGACATTAACACAGGAAATGTCCCCAGCTATAGAGGGGGGATAGTGAAGTGGTGATCCATCCTAAGTGCTCGTAGGTATTGGCTGTTCGCTTTCGTGTCTGTGAAGGGAGTGGAGACAGGACATGACCTGTGAATTCTGAGGAAGGACAGAGATATTGAGGCCACAAAGAACACGATAGGACCTTCCCCTTCGTCAGTGCTGCATTCCGCAGAACTTCAGCGAGTGTCTGTTTTGTGCCAGGTATTCATTCCACTGGGGCCTGGGGACACCCTGAGAACAAGAAAGCTGCGGCCGTGCCTCCGAGAGCTTGTGGTCAGGCAAAGAGAGCAAAGAGACAGAAGGAGGGGGTGGCCACAGCCTGTGAAGGGAAGAGCAAAGGAGCATTTTAGAGCATTCGGGGTGATGAGGAGGATATGGCCATGGGGCCAGGGCCAGTCAGGAAGAAGGGGGAAGAAAAGATTCTCTTGGAATTTTTCTGACAAAAGGGAACAAGGCTTTGATCAGACAGTGGAAACCAATGATTTAAGAATGGTCGTTCAGAATCACACTGGGTGCTAGGAGGAGCAAATAAAATGAACAATCCAGAACAAATATTTAAGTAAACTAACAGAAAAGTAAATTGAGAATTCCACGCATCTCACTATAAATCAAAAGGTAGTTCCAAAAACGTTTGAGGTATGTGTTGGAGGAGGATGCATTGCTAAGCGACATCTCCGCTCATATAAATTTTAAGTTACGGTTCCTTGATTTTTTCACATGGTTCATGCTTTGACTTTTGAGAAAAGATTTTTACAATATAATTATTTGATTTTCAACGTTTGTAGAGATGTGAGTCAATATTTTTTCCCCTTTGAAAACGAACTTGAGAAAAGGGTCAGTTATAATTTCACCCTAAAAGTAAGAATTTTCTGGAGAAGCATGTGTCAGATTACCAGAAAATATTCGAATCTCAGCCAGTGTCTCTGGCCTCACTGTAATGTTCTCTCAAGACAGCAGAGAAGAGATGGGAAAATATCACCCTTGACTTCCTGGCACTACTAAAGGCCAAGTTGAGGACTTGAAAAATCCTGAGCTGTGGTGTGAGTCACGTTTGCTAAGCCACTGTTATGATGTCAGCTGCTGTTTTTCCTGTCAGATATATTTTAATTTCCATTCAAAACTAAATTACACTTTAAGCTTTCAGAAAAGGTAAAATATTGTGGTATTAAGTTGTTTTGACAACCATTTAAAATTATATGCCTCTTAAGATTGATTTCATTGAGTAAAATGTCTATCTGTACCAAGGTCTGGAAATAGTTATTCTCTCTCTCTTTTTCTTTCTCTCTCTCTCTCCCCTTCCTTCCTTCCTTCCTTTCTTCCTTCCTTCCAGGGATTACTACTTGTGTGATGTGACATGGGTAAATGAAGAAAGGATTTCCTTGCAGTGGCTCCGAAGGATTCAGAACTATTCACTCATGGGTATTTGTGACTATGATAATTCCACCAACAGTTGGACAAGTCCAGTGGTAAGGTTTAATGCGGATGTTCTGCTTCTAAAGCTACATGTGATCCAAGGACTATATAAACCCAGGGAGAGTGAATAGTTAGGAATCAGGAAATAAAGTTTGAGTTTCTTTTCTTTCTGACTCTATGTCAGATCCTGAAGCAGTGGGTAAGTTTTGACTAACTTTTAGAGAATCTGGTATCTGGTGGTACTTCCATTTCATCTCTCCTCATCAGTCATACTGTTTTAGTTATGGATAGTATCACTTGGGGAGGGGGTGGTGACTGGAAACCCAGAAGATAGAATTTGATGTCAAAATTCAGAAAGCCCAAGAAGGCCAGCAGCTGCAAGATCAACAGAGTGTGTTTCAATAGACAAAATATGGGGAGCGGAGAATGACTGGCTGAGAATATGTGAAACAAAACACGTATCAAAAGGCCATAAATCTCTTACCACCCTGTGACTATCTTTCAGCAGTCAAGAGCTTTAGAACATCAATAGATAACTACCAGGCGGTGGGGGTAGCAACATTAAGACAAAGGCAAGTGTTAATTCAGCCTCGAGGTGCTGGGGGGCAGGGCATTCCCCAGAAGAAACCACAAGGTTCAGCCAAGCTGGTGAATCAGAATTAGAGCCCCTGTGGGAACCAGCAACCTCAGAAGGGGCGACGTCCAGGGAAGGTTTACCCGCATATGTGAAGGACACCACTCCAAGCCCTTTTCTGGTAATAGGCTCTGTGCCTACATACTACCCGCCCCCCCTCCACACACACACACACTTCCCAGCCTGGTTGGGCACAGTGCCGATTCTTGCCTCCGAAAGCTTGGGCACACCATATCTTGATTTGCCCATTCGTTTATTTATACAGCAAACACTGACTACCTACTATGTCCCTACCTACTACCTACTATGTTATGCTGTGCATAGCTCTGGATTTAAAACAAACAAAAACAAGCAAATTAGACAACATGCCGGTCCCCAAAATGTGTATGTTTTAGTAGGGAATACCATTAGGATAATCAATAATAACAGTTACGGTTTCTTGAACACTCACAGTAGCCAGACACTGTGGAGACAGAGGTTCTGTGAGGTTAAGGAGCTTGCTTAGGTCACATGACAGTCAGAAATCCAAACTAGAAAACCTAAGCTCTTTGCTTCCTGCCAATTCTATCATCCTACTATCAGGATATTGTGCCCTAAAAGGGTATAAGCAAAGTACAGAGGGAATGTAGGACCAAAGACGATGATCCACTCAACTGAGGACAGGCAACGGGAGATGACAAGGGAGGCCTAGAGCACCCGGGGCAGAGAAGGGCACAAAGACTCTGGGAGCAGAGGCTGTGCAAAGGCATCCAGTGAATGGATGGGAGTGCCAGGGTCTGGGGCTCCAGAGGACGAGGAGCTGGGGAGAGGCACCATGGTGAGAACCGAGGGTGGAGGTAGGCTGAGGCTCAGGTGCCGTTCTGAGGAGTTTGGACTTACTTGTAAGACACGGGGAGCTATTTCTAGGTATTAAATAAGAGAGGATCGTAATGGGATAGAACTGTCTGTTGCAAAATGAGGTCAGCGGGGGTTGAGCAGGGTGGAAGAGGAGAAGAGCAGGAGGGTCTCCAACCGGGAGGTCAGGGCAATGGGCCAAGCGAAACCTGACGAGAACAGAAGCTAAGGCAGTAACGGTGGAGAAGGACGAGAGGAATCAGAAAACCAGGAGGCAAGGGCCGAGGAGGCGGCTGTGAGGAGAGGAGGCATCCACAGTGACTCCCAAGTCTCTGGCTTGGGTGAGTGGTGGCACGAAGCAGAAGAATGAAGGCGTCAGAACAAGCCGGTAGGGATGGAGGCAAGATAAACGACATCATCTTCTGTTCCGTACGTGTTGAGTTGAAAATGCTGGGGGAGCTTCCAGGGCCACATATGGAAGACAGAGCTCTAGGCAAGAGAGGTAACTGTTCTAATGCAATCATATAAACAATATGAGCATAAATACAACTGTATAAATGGCGATAGTTTTCAATTATTTTAAGTACAGTTTTGCTTCTATTACCACGAGTTGCAGATAAAGAATAGAATTAATATCTTACTTCTCTCTGAAACACTGCCTTGTATTTTTCCCTCCCTAGGCACAAGAACACACTGAAATGAGCACCACTGGCTGGGTTGGAAGAGTAAGTGCTGAAGAGTTACAGGGTTTTTGTGGTATGGATCAGATACTCAGAGCTATTTGATATTTGGCAGATATACCAAAGGGGGGTCCTATGTTATTTGCTATTAATAGAGAGATTACTTGACCTATTTCTCAAAATATTTCAATGCTCCCTGCAGAGATAGCTTTTCATGGGGAATAAGAACATGCTCAGTTGGAAAAAGGAACAGGACAAGTGAAAACTTGAGAGCAGACAAAACAAAAGACATACTCTAGGCAAACCGTAGCTCCTGAAAAGTTAAAAAGCGACTGCTGCTGAAAAGCAGCTAAGACGCAGAATATGCTCGTTGACCTCATCTTTGAAGTCCTGTGCTTTGGAGGCAGAAAACATGGCTTCCATCCACCGCCTACACAAATGGGTAAGGAGATGCGGCTGTATCCAGCAGCAACTCGGCAGCGACTGTAGCCATCCAGCAACACTGCTGTGCACCTCCCTTTGGAGGAAATCATACTCGTGTGGCTTCACGCTTTACTAGGCCCCAGACGCAGTTTTATCCAAGAAAGCACGGTGACCCGCAGAGACTAGTCACGCTTCTCTCTCCCGCTCCACGATGCCTTGGGCAGAATCACCAACCGTGTGGCTACTGGACCATGGGCTGAAGCAAGTTAGCGGAGGATCTCCAGCCATTGTGGCATCCCATAGAAAGATGATGAACAAATCTCACCTAATTTTTATGATCACTTCTGTTAAGCCTCCTTTAAGAGAGAAACAAAGGGACCAAAAAAAAAAAAAAGTAAAGATTTCATTCACATCTCTTGGGGCATAGAGGGGAGGCCCCTGGTCCAGAAACAGGACCCCATCCAGCTGGGCTCAGAGCTCCGATAGCATTCACACGTCCCTTTTCTTCAGGCATTGATTGGGCAGAGGGGAGAGGTTTGCCAACATGAAAAGTGGTTTCCTCCATGGCAAGAGACACGCTACACTTCCTCACGACTCTTTGAAAAAAATATGTTTTTTCCTCTCTGTATTTAACCAGACAGATGCCACTTTTCACACATTTCTACTAGGCACAACTCCATCCAGGGGAAACAGGGAAATGTATTAAAAAGATAAGGCTGTGAACACAGGTCTAGAGAGGGGAATGTGTTTCAGAGAGCTGTAATGAGAACAAGTGTACGGCACGCCTCAGCTTGCTCCATAAATGAATCCACTTTGAATCACTAAAGAGAAGAGGGAAGCGTTTTTCTTCCTTCCCAAAATGGGAGCTGATAAGAGAGGAAACATCGAGGGTAAAGTGAACCAACAATTTTTAAAAGACCATCTCCTACCTGCTCTCAAATGTAGGAAGGAAATCGAAGTCGTAAAGCGACATATTCCCTTCAGGCTGGGATAGATATTCTTCTGCTTAAACTACATTATGTTCTGAGAACTATCTTTTATTGAACTGTGAAAAATGGAAATTTTATACTATATTTCCATACAACTACTTTTTTGGTAAATTGTTGATCCTATTTAGCAAAATGAAAAGACTTACAATAAAAATGGTAACTATAAGAATGTTTCCATGTGAAATGTACGACAGACATTCCTTATAGTATCCAGTCCAGAAATGGTTAAACACTTTCTGGCTTTCAAAAAGAATAAGTATTTTAAAAGGAGGGAACAAAGCCCTCAAATTGAAAACCACTTCTTATCTGAAACAGTAAAAATAATAGTCTGTTTCAAACAAACCAACCAACCAAACAGAAAGCAATCACTCACGGATGCCTGGGGGGGAAGCCGTGTGGGGGATGGGCAAAATAGGTGAAGGGGATTAAGATGTACAAACTCCCGGTTATAATAACAATAATATAGTCTGTTTCAAGAAAGCACATCTGTGACACTGAGGAAATTTACTTCTTAAAACTGGAAGACGAATGCTAATTTTTGCACATTTATAGCCAGAAGTCATAGAGTTATCCTCCACAGAGAAATGTCCAGAGATAACAATATCACTGATATGTGTTGAGAGTCCTGCGTAAGCCTTTTTATGTGCTTTCTCTCATTTACTCTGCACAAAAAATTCCCTGAGAAAGATCTTTTTGTCTGCATTTTCTAGAAGGAGAATTTTCTTTTGAGACACTCTGGTTTCACTTGGCAAGTAAATGAAGCATGGGTTTTGGGCAGAGAGGTGTTGAGAGGACTTGGAAAAATTAAAGTTGGTACTGAGATGAGACTGATGTGCTCTAATCTGTTTTTTTGTTTTCTATTATTCTGTAGTTTAGGCCTTCAGAACCTCATTTTACCTCCGACGGGAAGAGCTTCTATAAGATCATCAGCAACCAAGATGGCTACAAACACATTTGCCTATTCCAAATAGATAAGCAAGTAAGTATTCTTACATAATTTATTTCAGGTTGATCTCTTTTTTAATGAGACTGACTTGAAGTAGAAACATTTGGTAAAGTCAATCAGTATGTACTAATAATCCGGCTAATTCAAATTCCAAAGTGGTATCTGGAGGATGATGGGATAGGGAGGGGAAACCCAAGAAGACCTAAGATTATCTAAATTGCTGCTATAAAAGATTCAACCCTCCACTTCGATTAGAGAGTTTAATAAACGTCTTTTTAAAAAATCCCATTAGGGTTGCACATTTATTACAAAAGGAGCTTGGGAAGTCATCGGGATAGAAGCTCTTACCAGTGATTACCTGTGAGTATTCTAATAACTGATAGGATGTAAACATACTCGTTGTAATCACACCCTCTTTGCCCAGAAGTAGGGGAAAATCTCCTACAAATAAAGAATAGTCTATTTGGAATGTGTTCAGTACTTTTTTCTTTTTAGCATACGGAAGCCTTAATGATTTTCACATATGCTTAGCAGATTTGATACCATGCCACCAAGAAGCTCTACCTCTTGCTCTTACCTGCTTTACATTAGAAGAGCTGCAGCCTCTTTTTCTTAAAACGTCTTGGAACACGGAACTAGAATCAGGGGCATTTTGTTAAGTTTTAACTGGCACCAAATTTTTGGAAGGCTCGGAGGGGCTATTTTATCTGTCCGTATCTCGGCCTTACTCTGGAAAATGGAAAGCTTTAGCAGAGGCTGTCAACTACCATGCATGCACGAGTTGGTGGAAAAGGAGTGTGATTTTTCATTAGAATCTGAGGCACTTCTATAATTCATTATTGGGTCTCACCACGGAGGATTTTTGCCACTGCCCAAAGCAGTTTTTGAAGGGCCTCTTTAGAAGTGGCTCAGCTGCTCTCAGAAAGATGGGGCTCCTGCCATCTAGTAGTTTGCGCTATAAAATAGAAAATATGGAAAACAATATAGGTACGTGGGCTCTCAACTTCAGGCTGGTTGTCCGGTGGTACTGTTCTCACAAAAGACTTTTTTTTTGGGGGGGCGCCTGGGTGGCTCAGTTGGTTAAGCGACTGCCTTCGGCTCAGGTCATGATCCTGGAGTCCCGGGATCGAGTCCCGCATCGGGCTCCCTGCTCGGCAGGGAGTCTGCTTCTCCCTCTGACCCTCCTCCCTCTCATGCTCTCTGTATATCTCATTCTCTCTGTCTCAAATAAATAAATAAAAAAAAAAATCTTAAAAAAAAAAAAAGACTTTTTTTTTGAGTTTTCACTTGTCACTTTAGTGAAGGGAACAATTCCTGCATTCAGATATTTTAGTCTACTTTAAAAAATAGGATCTCCTAATCTCCTACTTAGAGATGACAGGAAATAGGCTTCTGGGGGGAGAGGGGGCAGGGAAGAATGATACGAGAAGGGCCAGCATGAATGTTTGGTGTTGAGTTAAATAGAGTGTACTTGACTTTCTTTAAAAACATAATCAACATATATTTAATTTGTTTTCTTCCCAGATACTACATTAGTAATGAATATAAAGGAATGCCAGGAGGAAGAAATCTTTATAAGTAAGAGCTAAATCAAATTATTGACTTGAGTCTTTTTAGCTGAAGAAAAATTTCTGGGTTTGGTTTTGTTTTGTTTTGTTTTTCCGTGTTTTAACTAACTGGAATTGTAATTGAGCACTTTCCTTCCCTTATAAATTAAACCCCAGGTGTCAACAGCAGAGAAGGACTTTATTAAATGTTTTGTGTTATTCCCAAACAGTGGGAGGTTTGAGGTTACTATGAATTAATCCATGTATTTGTTGCACATTAAAAAAAAGTTTTTGAGCATTGTTTTGGCATTCTGATACCTTTGAAACTAGAATATGGCATTATTCAATTCTGTCTTTTCATTTATTCTTTCATTAAGCACTTAATTTCCACCATTGGTTTACAGAATCCAACTGAGTAACTACACAAACGTGACATGCCTGAGTTGTGAGCTGAATCCAGAAAGGTGTCAGTACTATTCTGTATCATTTAGTAAAGAGGCAAAGTACTATCAACTGAGGTGTTCAGGTAAGTGTGAACTGCCAAGGGGAGGCAGAACATCATGTCTGTCTATCCGAAAGTGGCTCCTTCCATTCCTGCCTTCCACTCACCAGCTGACTTTGTTCCTTCTGCTCTTCAGACAATATCCTTACCACCCTCCTGGCTCGTTCTCTCTTTTTTTAAAGATATTTATTTATTTATTTATTTATTTATTTATTTATTTATTTTTGTCAGAGAGAGAGAGCACACAAGCAGGGGGAGTTGCAGGCAGAGGGAGAAGCAGAGGAAGAGGGAGAAGCAAAGGGAGAGGGAGAAGCAGGCTCCCCGTTGAGCAGGGATCCCGCTGTGGGACTGGATCCCAGGACCCTGGGGTCATGACCTGAGCCAAAGGCAGACGCTCAACCGACTGAGCCACCCAGGTGTCCCCGTCCTGGCTCATTCTGCCCATCTATCCCTTTCTGTGTCCAGTCTGGGAAACATTCTTTCTGCCCTGCTTAGTTTTCTCCTCTTGAATCTGAGGAGCCCTTGAAATCACCAAGTCCCCTTCTCTTCAAGCACATCTAAGTGGTAAGTTAACCACCTTTCCTCCCCTTCTAACCAAGAGAGTTGCATGGCTTGCTTTTGACTGAACGCACAACAAATATACACATACACTGGAGACTACGTATAGCAGAGGCACTTGATTTTATACATATATTATATATATTATATCTATGTGCATATATACATATAGATTTTTTATTGTAGATTTTTTAATTATTATTTTATGCATTTGCCCCTTTAGATGAGAAAATGTATGTGGGTAGTGTCTGTCACCCAACCTGCTCACTGCTCCATCTTCTGTTGCTATTTTATTATTGTTTTCTTTATTATAAATGAAGAAACTTGGAAAGGACAGGCAACGTGACTTGCACAGGTCACACAGCTAATAAGAGGCACAACAGGATTCAAGCACAGGGCTCCATCTCCTGAGCCCTCCTGAGCCCTCCAATAAGCCCTATGCTAGATTACTTCTCAAAATGAAAGATTCTGGATATTCTGAAAAAGAACTGTCCCTCGCCGGAAAGAGATCTCCAAACCAGCTATCTGAATCTTTATTTACTAGCACATTTTCTTTATTATTACATCTTTCTCTCTCTCTTTCTTTCTTTCTTTTTTTTTTTTTTTTCTGTGACTGTTTTTAGTCACCATTTCTTGGGCACACATTTCATACTAGGAACTGTGCTAAAAGTTTTATATTTGTAGTCTTATTTGATTCTTAAGAAAACTCTATAAAGTGATACTGTTCTCCTTTTATATGTAAAGAGATGGAACACAGATATGTTGTCACACAGCAGGGAAGCCAGAATTCAAACCCAGGTCTTTATAATGCCTTCACTGTGGTTCTGATCGAGAGTAAAACATTAATATTATCTAAATGCATCAAAATTAAATAGCTCACCAAATAGCTTTTCTATACATTACCTTCTAGTCTGCAACTACCAGTTGGGATAAATAGTGAAGATATGTTCATGCGAGAAAAACACTTTTGCATGCCAGAAAGGAATCGCTTATCCAAGTCAGGCACTGTGCAGATGTGCCCCCTGGCTCAGGACTCAGTGGGGCGGGGGCAGCGGGAGGGAAGTCCGCCCCCACCCCCAGGCTGGCTCCAGAGCTCCGCCCTAAGGGGGCGGGGCCTGAGAGCCGGGCTGGTCATCGCTGGATTGTGGATTTAGGGCTGGGAAGGAAAGATAGCCGTGTCAGTGGTTCGTGGGTTTAGTTCACAGCTGAGGAAATTGGAGGCAGCATGCCCAAGGCACTCAACGGGGCCAGAGGTTCATTTTCTGCTTCGTTGTACTGAGCCCTGTGCCTTTCCGGTAATACTTCTTAATCTCAAATTGCACCTATTTCAAGGAAAAGGAAAAACAGCTAACACTTAGTAAGCACCTTATCTACCATGATTTTTATTCTATCAGAGCTAAATGGTATTAAAATCGTATCAAAGTTAAATGGTATCAAATGGCCATTTTTGAAAAATATGCTCTCTTCTTTTCTTAAAAAGCCTCACCTAAAACATTTTTCCTGTTAACAGGCCCTGGTCTACCCCTCTATACTCTGCATAGTAGCAGCGACGATAAAGGTATTTTCTAGCATTTCACCTTTCCTTTGCTTTTTAGAAAAGTGTGTGAATAGGATCAACATGTACTTAGCATAGTGGGATTTTTTTTTTTTTTTTGGCTTTAGAGTGTTTAAAAAAATGATTTGAACTCAAGGTTTATAATCCAAAGTATGTATAGTCCCATCAGTGAATTGCTACTTGTTTGTTAGCACTTTGCGCAATCCGAATTCTTCACATTGTAATGAATCGCTGCCGTCTGCACTTATTTGCTCAGAACTGAGAGTCCTGGAAGACAATTCAGCTTTGGATAAAATGCTGCAGGATGTCCTGATGCCCTCAAAAAAACTGGATTTCATTATTTTGAATGAAACAAGTAAGTTAAATCTCCTTAGGAACAACTGCTCCTGGAAACACCAATAAAAAATATAACTAAATGTGGTAACTTGATCTGAAAATACACATTTTATTATATGTAATCTAATTTGAGGTTATTTTTTCTATGAAATATTCTGTCATGAGAACTGCTAGTTTTACATTTTTTTTTTGTTTAAAATACAATACCACTCTATGTAAAAGTTATTCTGTTAAAATGAAGGCATTTGGAAAAAAACACACTATTGCTGCTTCTGTTTCGTTCCGTTAGTAACTCTGTTCTACTATAAAGTATTATTTGAGTGTTTAACTTAATGATATCCTGATATATTCTACCTTTAACCCAAAGAGATAAAAAATATCTGAGGTGATTGTATAAAAAAATTAGGGTTGGCTGTAAAATGTTAAAACTTCAATCTCGGGAGAGAAATCTTGAATTTTTCCTAACCTTCTCCTTGCCATAGTTAGCCTGGTCCCTGTGCTGGGAGCCTGAGCAGGGATGATGTGCAGGAACCACTGAGAACTGGGGTGGAGAGAGTGTTCTTTGAGTAGGAAATTTTGTAGTTTGTTCATTTGTATTTGTTTGCTGTTTTTCCCATTAAGAGCTAATTACTCATGGGGGATGGGGGAAATCCATCAGGACTGATTTAAGTTTTTTTTAAATATAGGATAATAATAGAAAAGATTCAGTAAGATCCAGTAGAAAAGATCCATCCAATTTTAAATGGCAGGAAAAGCGCTGGGGAGTAGAGGGTGCTTGTGAAGAAGAGCTTAGAGCAGGGTTACTGAAACTGAATGTGCGTATGAATCACCTGGCACCTTGTTAACGGTAGTTTTGTGATCCAGCAAGGCAGGGTGAGCCCAGGGTTCAGAGTTTGTACTTGGTTCTTAGGTGCTACTGGTGCTGCTGGCATAATGGGCAAGGACTTAGAGTTCCGGAGAGCTACCTGGGCTGCTGGTGCGGAATGCACTACATCCTGAGATTTGACAAACAGTGGGGGACCCCGAAAGTTTTTGGCTCAGGGAAACCACAGGACTGGATGGGCAACCTGGTAGGGAGGAGACTGAGCCTGGATCTGCCAGAGCTGGAGAGTCCAGCTGGGAGGTGGTTGTACATTCAAACTCCAGGGAAGTGGGGTAGTGGGGGCGTCGAGGAGGAGGGTCAGTAGGAGGTGGGACTGGGGATTACAAAGCACCCCCCCCACCCAAAGAAAAAATGGCATCTTCAGAAAGATGGAACTAAAACACTTCTAATCCACTAGTACAAATTCAAACAAAGGAGAGATCAAATGGTGGGTTTGGCATATTTATTAAAAACATCATGATCAACACATAGTTTGACATTCTATTGAAAAATAATAAAGACTTAAATTTTTATTCTTATAAGCACATTTAGTCAGAAGGCATATATTTAAAATACAAACACAAATTGAAGGGAAATCTATCTATATAGAGACTTACTCTTAGACCTTTCTTTTTTCCTCAACTAAAATAATTTTAACAACAAAAAAAAAAGGAAGAAAAGAAAGATAAACATAAAGAAACAGCAGCTCTAGAGATACGGATTTTTTTCCCTATAGGTTAAATCTACTGAAGCTGGAAATAATCTGATTAAAATATAGAAAATCTCTCAATCTCTCTTTCTCTTTAAGATTTATTAATCTAACTCATCTTCTTGATTTTGGGAGCAAAGGAAACCAATTCATTATTTAGGGACAAATTTTATTAAACTGATGCTAAGTCAAGCACAGAGAATTAAACAGATCTGCAGATCATATAGAACGTACACAACAGTCTGCTGCATGTAAACCTGATTTCAATCTGTGAATCACAGAGCTGAAAATGGGAACTCAGCTTCGCGGTCTGGGATGGCAATAAGAATTACAAAAATGTTATTAAATCAGAATTTTAAAATAGAGTTAGGGCCAACTAAAAATCCTAAACATCTTCAAGGAAATTCAAGAAGAGGAAAACATTTTGGAGGAAAACTTAGAACATAAGCCATAAACAAACTAGATAAGTAGATCAGATGCCAAAGAACAGAATCATAAAAACAAAACATTAGCAATTCTAAGATGCACTTTTATTTTACAAGGCACCAATATATTTAATAGATATATTAAAAACAACTTTATTGCTTTAATCTTAACTAGTATTCTAACCTGAAAGAGAATGTTTTTTTATCTTAAAAGCATACTGAATCCAAGCAGTTCATTTTCTTTTTCTATTATAATTTAACAAATTGTTGAATGCTAACTATGATTTATCACTGCAAAGAAACCTAGATCGTGTGCTAATAATTACTCTTAATTTACTGATCAGTCTTTCTGTTTGTTTAGAATTCTGGTATCAGATGATCTTGCCTCCTCATTTTGATACATCCAAGAAATATCCTCTACTAATAGATGTGTAAGTATTCAAGAGGAGGGAACAAATGAAAAGTTAACCATTGGACATTTTTTACCTAGTGCAGCTTACAGAAAATTAGAGCTGAATGTATCCTCTGTCTCTTCCTGAATCATTGTGAAGAATTTTACTATTTCCTTCTTCCATTTTGCAATCACAAACCCAAACCTTTGTTTTCTACCATCTTTCGAATGGAGAAAGTAGACACCTTTCTGTCGTAATGGCATATGGTCCTTTAGTTTTGATTTCTTTCTCTGAACTACAAGGGAATTCCAAAGGAATTTTCAGGTCACGAGTTTTATCCTTACCGCATAGACCTTTTAACATGCAAGAGATGGGTATTAATAGTCTTCACAACTTCCTTACCCCCAAACTTGCCCAAACATCACCATTAGTGACCTTTGATGCATCAGTACATCAGGTTTCTCTTCCTTTAGTTCCTGAAATACCACTGCCTGGTACTTTTCTTTTTTTTTTTTTTAAGATTTTATTTATTTATTTGTGACAGAGAGAATGAGAGACAGAGAGCATGAGAGGGAGGAGGGTCAGAGGGAGAAGCAGACTCCCTGCCAAGCAGGGAGCCCGATGTGGGACTCGATCCCGGGACTCCAGGATCATGACCTGAGCCGAAGGCAGTCGCTTAACCAACTGAGCCACCCAGGCGCCCTGCCTGGTACTTTTCATTCCCCTCTCTGGTGAAGAGAAGATGTGATATAGGAAATTATTCATTATAATCCAGACTTTTTCAAGTCTCAGAGAAAGTTCTGAAATCGCACATCTTTGAACAGTAAATGTAAACTCATGCGAATTCTAAACGTGGCATCTTTGTAAAATATTTTTGATAATGACTGGGAATACATTTTACTTTAATCCTTCTAAAATTGCCCTGAACTCACACATAATGGCACAGTGCCACTCCTCCTGTCCTACATTGTCTCATTTCCTTGATTAAAAATAAGACAGAAACAAACCAAAAAATGCGCCGGGTGCCTGCTACCTGCCAGGTAATTTGCAAACCCATGTGAGGAGTTCTGTTGGGCCCATTATACAGAAAAGGAAACTGAGACTCAAGAACATCACTTTTCTGTTGTAACCACCACCACCACCCACAAAAGAGGGGGTGTTAGCATCCAACACAGCCTTGTGGCACGGTATTTACAGTTCCATGTAAACAAATCATAAAAGCTCAAAGAAAGAGAAAAAGGTATTTCAAACTTCCAGATGTGCTGTTTAATTTTCAGTAAGCCTAACTTTGACTACAGTGACATTAATTTGCTTTAGGCTTTAGCCCCAATACTGGAAACCGATGTTTTAGAAAAGAGTGAGACTTTTATCCTCTTCAACTCCCCGGTGAGGAATGGCTAGACCTCCCCTTTATTTAGGAAAGTTTAAAAACACATGGTAAATTTACTGCCCTTTTCTTTTTAGTTGTTTTCCTCTTGCCACCCTTAGATGTCTAAATCTTTGTTTTCTATTTTTAAAAATAGTGTTGTTTAATCTTAGGGGGTAGGGTAACTTGATACATAACTAATATTAAGGGAAGCTGTTACCCTCTGAAATCTAAAATCATTGAAAGGACCAAGGCATTTCACATATTGTTAAAAAAATGTTTACTCGCCCAGGAAATGCGTGAATGCCTTCTTCTTTTTAAAGTTAGAATGTTATAAATGAAAGTAATACAATGTTTGTTTAAAACCAAAGTTCTTTTGACTTCCATCCGTAGGAAGAGCAAAGGCATGTTAAGTGGAGGGGACAGTGAGCAGACCAGTAGGAGGGATGGGCTGGGAGGGAGAGGTACTGGACCAGGTCTGGGTCCAGGAGTCCCGTAGATCGTGCAAAGATGACATATTTAAGTGCGATGCAAGGAGCTATAGGGAACTTGCCTTGATTAACAAATGGAAATGAGAGGGCTTGATGGAGAGTGGGCATCCAGCTGCGTGGGAGTGGGGTCTAGCCTGTAAAGATTGCAGATAGCAGGGAGTTAAGCCCGTTAATGAATAGAATGCAGAATAAAAACATACATGTTTTTCAAGACCATCCACTTCTTTTTCCTTTGAAGTTTTAAGGAATAGTGGTCAAGCATACCTTGGCCCACTCCACAGTGACTTGTGGAGCCTGAGTGTGGCACCCTGTGCGGGGCTGGGGAGAGGGGGTGCGGATTACACAGCAGTCAAGCCACCCTTTAGGAAGTTCCAGCCTAGGAAATGCACACATAGAGTAGGAGTGCTTGCAAGCCATGGGGGAAGGATATATTCAAAGCTGCATTGATTGTCATCCTCATTAATTTTCCATAACACAACGTCCCTGTCCCAACTCTTAAGTATTTATTTCTTTGATTTCCAAGAAATATACGACTTAGAAAATGTTGGCCTCTGAAGTCTGTGTTTGATACCAGTCTTCAAAGGTAAAACCGATGGGCATCTTTGAAGGAAACACACAGCCCTTGTAGCCACGTTGCCAAGTTTTAGAGGAACCATGGTGGACGCCCCGGTGGCTGGCACAATTTCAGGCTCGTGGTCGGGAAAGACGCACACTCCTTGTCCACAGGGAGTAGAAATACAGGCACTCCTCATTTGATTCAGAAAAACCACAACGGCTAACAATTTGGGATTTTTCACAGATATGCAGGCCCGTGTAGTCAAAAAGCAGACGCTGTCTTCAGACTCAACTGGGCTACTTACCTTGCAAGCACAGAAAACGTTATCGTAGCTAGCTTTGATGGCAGAGGAAGTGGTTACCAAGGAGATAAGATCATGCACGCAGTCAACAGAAGACTGGGAACATTTGAAGTTGAAGATCAAATTGAAGCAGCCAGGTGAGTGAGTAGGAGATGAATCTGAAGGTCATCTGATTTTTCCCTCTCGATTTATATTTTTAAAGTTGTAAAGTGGAAAGAATGCAAAGTGTCCTAGGATGAATCTTTTATCTTTGGGGTACATTTTTAGTGACGATACCACACTTAGATAAAAATGTATGTCATTAGAGACGTATATAAAGGTTAAAAAGGACATATTTCTTAAATTCCTCTCTGTGACTCTAGAAAGGGAGTTGGTATATGTGTTACCTGCCTCCTTCCGTGAACAGAGACTCTAAATTCATCAAACACATGGACAGACTAAGGGATAAATGCACCCCCGAGTAAACATGTAACTAGACAAGTGGACCATCCCTGTAGTCAAGGTTAAGCGAAGGAGTCCAGTGTTCCTTTCCAGCGTAGGAGGCTGTACGTTACATGGGATAGCTATCAAGTCCTAGGAGTGGCTCCTACAGTCTGGATGAGGGTTACTCTGCCATTTGGGGAGAATTGTGGAGCACAGCCATCTTCACTCACAATTATAAGGGTTTCATTAAGTATGAATCACATCTCATTGTTGTGCTTTCCAGTCATGAGTCCACAGATAGATGTGGTCTGGCTTAAGAGAGATGTTATTAATAGATAATGGTTATCACGTAATGGGCAATGTTTTACCCGAATTGTCATGGGAACTGCACAGCACTCCTATGAGATGGGGATCTGTACCCCATGCTTCAGGTAAAAAATGCAGGCTCTTAGGTTAGGTAATTTGCCAGGGGAAGTCAGAATCTGAATCAAGGTCTCCAACTTAATTGGAGTCTCAAATGCATGCTCCAATTCAACTGCACTCAACTGGTAAATGGGAAATGCAGTCTTTGAGTTTCTATAGCCAACTGCCTGGATGTCTAGGGAAGCATGACAAGTGGTCAATTTAAAATAATGTTATGAAATCATAAACTAGGAAATGCAGAAGAATGGTGAATGATGAAATGGGTGGAGGAAAATGCCTTTAAAAACAAGAAACAATCAAAGAGAAGAAAAAAGAGGACAATTTACTAAGTATCCCTAAGTCTCTTACACCAAAGTTAACGATTAGCTATTTTCCTTTAAAGTAAAGTAGAGAGAAAGAGAAGTTTAGATTAGAGACAGAGGATAAACTGGTTCAGGAGTAGGGCTGTGATATTTTATTTATTTATTTATTTTTATTTTTTTTTAAAGATTTTATTTATTTATTTGAGAGAGAA